CAAGAAAGGTGATGATTGGACACCTCTGTGTTTCCCCAAGGACTGTCGTGGCTGCACAACCACGGTGCTCAGGTGGGACACGTGTCCCCTCCCCTGGAGAGCCATGTAGAAGCAATGCCACGTGGCAGCAACACCCTGACACTGCTGCACAATCACCAGGCAGTTCCAGGTTTGATCGTTCTCAGCTTGAGCCAAACTAGCTGCAGAGATGCAACTGTTCATTCTAAATGTTGTGCATAGTTGTGAAGGGTCCTTCTTCAGCACACGCCTGAGGATGCCAACAGGGCCTGTAAAATGAATGGGACTGAGCTGCTGGGTTTGTTCCCTTCTTCCCAGCCTGGTGCCACTTAGCAGATGGCAGGTTCAAATGTTTCCAATCAGTTACTGGCACAGAAAGTAGCTGTTAGAACAAGGCCATTTTTGCCCTTAGGAATGTACAGATTGTTGAATATTTCCAGTTCTGCAGCCACAGCTGCCCTTGTGCTGGTTTGAAGTGGTTTTGCTTTGTGATTTACAGACAGTTGCAGCAGTTTTCTTTCTTCTCCCTTCTGCATTTCCTCCCTGCTGTGCTCCTTCACACTGTTGACCTGTCTTCTGAACTCATGGTCATTGGCTTGTTTCTGCCAGGGACTGGCTTCCAAATTCTGTAGCTCTGCTTCTCCTGGCATCTGCTCCTCGAATGTACCTCTTTTCACCCAAAAGCTCAGCTGTGAGGTATCTGCTTGGCCTTCAGGAATAGCTGCTGTCTGGAGTGTTCAAACTTAAGACCCAAGTCTTGAATTAATTAGTTAAACCAGAAAAAAAAACATTTAAACTGGGACAAACAGTAACTGGTTTCAGAGGCACCATTAAAGGGGTGTCTGGCACCCCTGATTTGCAGCTCACGTGTTTTCATCTCTCCCAGACATCCAGCTTGTAGTGAGTACTCTCTTTTCATTACTTGAGCTGATGCTTTTTTCCAAGCTCCTCAGGCTCTTTTGCCCCTGGCTTTGCTCCTCTGTGTGTAGATGGTTTCTGGGATGGACATAGCCTGAACTATTAATGACACTAAGGCCACTGAATTCTCTGGGGGGCCACTGAGTTCTCAGGACTCCTGGATAAAAACCTGTAGCCTGTCTCCCAGCTTTGGGCATCTGAGCTGCAGGATTTTAGAGGCTGCTTCCTTAAAATTTGAAAGTATCTCCTTGACTGGAGTGTCAGGCATCAGACTCAGCTGGAAGACTTATCATACCATGACTTTTAGCAGCATTCCAGTATCTGAAAGGGGCTTACAGGAAAGCTGGGGAGGGACTTTTTACCAGGGTGTGTAATGATAGGATAAGGGGTAATGGTTTTAAACTGAAAGAGGGGAGATTTAGGTTGGATGTTAGGAAGAAATTCTTTGCTGTGAGGGTGGTGAGACCCTGGCCCAGGTTGCCCAGGGAAGCTGTGGCTGCCCCATCCCTGGCAGTGCTGAAGGGCAGGTTGGATGGGGCTTGGAGCAGCCTGGGCTGGTGGGAGGTGTCCCTGCCCATGGGACTATATGTCATGGTCACTTCCAACCCAAACCATATGATTCTATGACTTCTAAGCAGCTTCACTAGTGTGATGTTTGTTCAGAAAGGCTGAGTGTAACATCTGTGTCTGCAATATTGACACCCTACTTTGGATCCAGATTTTGTGTGTCCTTAGTTGCACACATACTGGAGGTCAGATTAATTTCTGTTTTTATTGAAACAAACTACTATTAAAAGTCCTGTCTCTGTATTGAGATGGAATTGGCTAATATTAGAAAAACAACAGGCTTATTAACCAGCCGACCCAATCTAATAATTCCATTTTAACAAAGAAATTGGCTTTTTATTTAAAGGGCACAGTGCTCATCTCACAGGGCACCTCCAGAGACCCTTTGGCAGTTGGTTGGGCAGTCACTGTTGATCCTGTCTCACCACAGTGATGATCCCCAAGGAACCAGATCAGGCAGTGCTCCCCTACCTGTGCCTTCTGTGCCAGAACACACCCTGGGAGGTTACAGGGGTTATTCCTTTCTTTTTTTTCCCCAAGCTCCATTACCAACATGGAGAGTTAAGTGTGGATAAGCCAGTGGCTTTTACCAAACTGGTCTTTTCTGCCTTTTTTATGGCTTTGAGCTGATCTGTGCTGTACAAGTTGTGCTTGTGAGGTGCAGTGATTCGTTAGGTTTGAGACAAGTGAGTAGTTTGAGCTGCTCTCCAGCCCCATGAAATCCTTTCCCAGGAGGTTCCCTCCCTGTCTCTTGAGCAGGGCAGGCATGGGCTTCTGGTGGGCTTGTGCCACATGTTGTTATTCCCTGCTAGTCCAGGCAGAGGCCTCCTGATCCCTTTTTTTGAGCACATAGAGGATGTAAAGCTCTCCTAGGGCACATGGGCCAAAAGGATCCAGAAAGCATCAAGAGAAGGTACTTTGAATGCCTCAGTGACCTGCAGCCTGCATGTTTTCAAGGGTGTTTTATTTCTGTTCTCATGCCAGTTTTCAATGTCACTTTACTAAGAATGATTGTAGTAGTGGTAGGAATCACATGGAGTCTTTCAGCCCTAATTTTCAGGTTTCTTTCACATTTTGTTAAGAATTGGGACTTGAAGTGAAATATTTGTACTTTAGATTTGCACAGGGTGGCTGTGCCCAGGCAGGGGTGAGGGCTCTGTGGTTCCACCAAGCATGGCTGAGGTGGTGTTTTAATGTTTGTCTTTCTTTCTTATCATCCCAACCTATTTTATATGGCAGTTTTTCTCAAGTTGAGTCTCTTTGGCCCGTGGCAGTGCCTGGTAAGCAGGTCCCTGTCCTTATCTCAATCACTGAGCTTTATCATCTTATTGTCTCCTTCCTTCTGTTGAGGAAGGGGTTGAGAGAGTGGCTGAGTGGGCAGCTGGCCAAGATCAGCCCCTTTAGTGTGCTGATTTGTGACTTCATGGGATGAAACTGTGGTGGGAGTGAGAGTCTGATAAGGTCACTGAAGCTGGAGGACTGAGGGTGACCTGTTACTCACTTCTTGAGGAGTCTGACCTGTGCTTGGAGCTGAGCACTGACACTGAGCTCTCAAAGAGGGACTGTGAGCACTTGCACATCAGCCTGACTTTGAGGTGCAGCCATTTCCTCTCTTCCTTGTACTGGGGAGCATGTCTTCTCATTTCTATTTTCCTTCAGCAATTGACTTGTCGAAAGGAAAGCCAAAAATAAGCCTGGTGCTGAAAACCCACCTGTCAAGCTCCTGTCTGCTGGCTCCCTGATTTTTGGGTCAGTTGGAGTCCTCTGGAAAAGCTCACTGGTATTTTGACTGACAGGAAGGGATACACTTCAGAAAGCTTTTAACCTTCCCCATCTTTCCTCAAAATACTAATAAAGGGGCTTGAGATCACCCAAGGTAGTAATCTTGGGTTTTGAAAGCCTTAAGAAAAAGCTACAGAACTAGAGAAACAGCTGAACACATTTTTATATTTATGCTTTTCATAGCCAAGCCAGAGAAAGCTTTGTCAATTTAGAGGAAAACCAAGCATTTCCAAAGGCTGCAGGACCATTTAGAACTGTCTTGTCTCTGTGATGGGTGGCAGCCAATGCCATGGAGGGAGCAGCTCTGCAGCAGGGTCCTGTGAGCAACACATTTGCTACCTCAGCTAAAGCAGCTCAGCTATTATTGCCTGAGCTCTTCGTGGTGGTGCCTGTTCCATCTGAGAGCAGTGGGAGCAGCATGGGAAGGACACGTGGGTTTTGGTACCTGGATCATGGGCCTGGCACAGGTTCCTCTTGATGGTGCACAATGCAATGGCTGTGCTGCACAGGCTCCCTGCTTGTGTCTCCTCACTGGCAGTCTCTGAAAACTATCAGAAAATAAAGACAGAATAGGAGTTAGTAAAAGTTTACACCTTATACATCTTGTTCCCTGATGGTGGGGAAGCAATTAATGATAATGAAGGCCTAATGACCTTGCACAGATAAGGCTTTTTTAGGCAGCACTGGCAGGGCTTGGAAAGTAGCTCCTCATGCTGCCATGAACCCCCACCAGATTGTCATTATTGTTCTGAAGTTCGGATGGAGTTTGGGTTTTACAGAGACCTGCCCCAGTTTGAAGTGACAGGTGTTTTTTTCTCCACCATTAGCTGAAGCCACAGGCTCAAGAAGTTGTGCCAATCTTCTGATAAAAGGCTGCCAAGAGATGCTGAAGTGTCCCAGGGGCTGAGCCAGTGCCCAGGTCTAACGAGTGGACAGATTACAGATGGTAATTAGCTACCATGGCACTGACCCCTGGCTAGACAGCACATGAAAGCAGCAGAAGTGCCCTCAGCACCACTCCCATCTGAAAATAGGCTCTGCCTTTTGACCAGGAGCTGGTTTGTGCACAGCAGGAGCTGGAGAGGCCCCAGGGGGCTGGGCAGGGCTCTCAGGAGCAGGGGAAACAGCTCCACGGTGACCTGGGGGCTGCCAGGACCTGGCCTTGTAGTGGAGAATCGTGCAGCATTGCAGGGGTGGGTGTCACACAATCCCTTCTTGGTTTTGTGTTCTGTTTGTTTGTTTGTTTGTTTTAAAAAAGGATGAAAATACTCCAAAAATGTGCTCAACCAATGAGGGTGCAGAATATTCCTTTTGGTTTTTTACTTTGCTGGGTGATATTTGGCAGTGGAGGCTTCCCAGAATTAAACTGTTCTTACCTGTTCAGTTTGTGGCAGACTTGAAAAGTCCATTTATATTTTTCTTTTTCTTCTTTTTTTTTTTATTTTATTTATTTTTTTATTATTTTTTTCTTTCCTTTGGAGCAGTTTAGTGCCAGCACAGGAGAAAGAAAATGCTGGGAAAGCAAAGCTGTATATGCAGCAAAGTTAAATGAACCATTTAAAGTAATAGCAATATCTGCTCTCCAGGATCCAATGTTTTAAATGTCAGAGAGGAAGAGAAGTGCTGGACCAGTCTGCAGCTAAAGGACAAGGTTAATGACTCTTTGCATGCAGATTTACTTGATTTGCCTCTGCTTGTTTTCTTTTCCCTATTAGGCTGATGATAAAGACACTGGGAATTACAGTGCCATGCAATACAGACTCATCATTCCTCCAATCAAGGATGGTAAAGAAGGTTTTGTGATTGAAGCTTACACAGGGCTAATAAAAACTGCTATGCTGTTCAAAAATATGAGAAGATCCTATTTCAAGTTTCAGGTCATCGCAACGGACAATTACGGGCAAGGGCTGAGCAGCAAAGCAGATGTTCTTGTAAGTATGAGCCAAGCATCACCTTTGTGGAGTAATTCCTGAGGAAACCCAGGCAACCTGAAGTTTAATTCCAGGCAGACCTGTGGGAAGGCCTTAAACTGTGTGTACCTCACTGCAGGAAGGATCTTGAGGTGCTGGAGCAGGTCTAGAGGAGGGCGACGAGGCTGGTGAAGGGACTGGAGGGAAAGTCTTACAGGGATGGGCTGAGGGAGCTGGAGGTTTTTAGCCTGGAGATGAGGACGCTCAGGTGGGACCTTCTCACTCTCTTCAACTACATGAAGGGAGGTTTAGTCAGGTGGGGGCTGTGCTCTTTTTCCAGGCAACCAACAACAAGACAAGAGGGCCTGACCTGCAGCTGCACCAGGGGAGGTTTAGGTTGGATATCAGGAAGCACTTCCCATGGAAGGGTGATCAGACATTGGGATGGGCTGCCCAGGGCAGTGATGGAGGCACCAGCCCTGGAGGTGCTCAAGGACAGGCTGGAGGTGGCACTTAGTGCCATGGTCTGGAGATGTGGGGGTGTCAGGTCATGGGCTGGACTTGATGGTCTTAAAGGTCTTTTCCAGCCTCAATGATTCTGTAATTTTCTGGTTGCTGAAACAAAGCTTGTGGGTTTGGTGGTTTTTTTTGAACCAAAAGCTTTTCCAACCATCTGAAGCATCCTGCTTCACGGCAAAGATGCTTATCTTGGTTACCACACTAGACATGCTGTGCAGTATTTTATTTATCTGTGGTTCAGTTCAGAATGTAATTGTTCAGATTGAGCAAGGTTACTCTCTGGGTCTTCTGGGCCCAGATGGCAGCAAAACAGGTGCAGGTTTTGTGCATGACAAGTCTAAAGCAGGTCATGTCGGCATGGCTGGACACAGCCAGTCACAGGTCATCTGCAGCTGTTCTCCCAGCCAGCAGGATGGCACCAGGGGAGGTTTAGGTTGGACATCAGGAAGCACTTCCCATGGAAGGGTGATCAGACATTGGGATGGGCTGCCCAGGGCAGTGATGGAGGCACCAGCCCTGGAGGTGCTCAAGGACAGGCTGGAGGTGGCACTTAGTGCCATGGTCTGGAGATGTGGGGGTGTCAGGTCATGGGCTGGACTTGATGGTCTTAAAGGTCTTTTCCAGCCTCAATGATTCTGTAATTTTCTGGTTGCTGAAACAAAGCTTGTGGGTTTGGTGGTTTTTTTTGAACCAAAAGCTTTTCCAACCATCTGAAGCATCCTGCTTCACGGCAGAGATGCTCATCTTGGTTACCACACTAGACATGCTGTGCAGTATTTTATTTATCTGTGGTTCAGTTCAGAATGTAATTGTTCAGATTGAGCAAGGTTACTCTCTGGGTCTTCTGGGCCCAGATGGCAGCAAAACAGGTGCAGGTTTTGTGCATGACAAGTCTAAAGCAGGTCATGTCGGCATGGCTGGACACAGCCAGTCACAGGTCATCTGCAGCTGTTCTCCAAGCCAGCAGGATGCAGCCAGCTCCTGTCTCAGTGTGAGAAGCAGGCCTAGCATGGTGCTAAACCCCAGCTAATAAGCCAAGCTGAAAACTTGTTGACTTGGAACCTGCTTTGCATTAACATGAGCACGTCCCTCCTGGGTTAGAGATGGAGCTGGTGCACCTGGCAGTACAGGCAGGGATCTGAGCTACCAGGCTCTGAAAGCTCCAAGGCTGGGGAAAGCTAAGGTCACCATGCCTCAGCTGCTCATGTCTGGAAGGGAGACACAAGGAATGATTCTGGGCTCAGACTGTGCTTCAGGTTTGCAGGGAAGCAACATTCAAAAAGGGCACCTGCTTTGGGCCTTGAGCTCATGGGTTTTTGCTGAGTACAGGACATTGACTTAGTTAAGTCACTGGCACCATCAAAACTAATTCCTTTAAAGCCTGTATAACTTGATGGATTGGGTTAATATTAGCATAATGTTGTAGGGATGAAGTGCATTATCTGGTTCCTGGGAGCAGTCAGATGATGGAGGTGGTAACACTTGGTACACTGAGTTATACAGGAACTCAGCAGATCAACATAATGTGTGACATCCTCATGCTTGACCTCCCAAAATGACAGGGCATTCTCCTGCCATTTAGGTGGTAATAGTGTATTAAAATACAGCCAGAAGGAATTGACAGTGACATTAGGAAGTGAAGCATGTCTCATTAATTTATAGAGGCCTCTAGGTTGTCTGATGAGTGATGAGCACCCTGGGACAGTGGTTTTGAGCAAGACATGAACTCTTAGAGTAGCTGTGGATTGAAGTACAGACCAACACCATCCCACCATGGAAGTTCAGGTTTGCACTGAGCATGGTGAGGTGGGTGTTTGCCTCTTCTCCCAAGGGACCAGCAAAAGGATGAGAGAAAATGGGGTCAAGTTGCACCAGGGACAGTTCAGATTGGATATTAGGAACAATTTCTTCACAGAAATAGTGGTGAGGCCTTGGAACAGGCTGCCCAGGGAGGTGGTGGAGGCACCATCCCTGGAGGTGTTCAGAAAACAGGTGGATGTGATGTTTCAGGAGATGGTTTAGTGGTGGGGGGTTATAGGGATGTTTGGACTTGATGATCTTGAAGGTCTTTTCCAGCCTTGATGATTCTATGATTCTCTGATTCAACACAAGGTCAAGGAGGGCACACAGATAAAGGAAATCAATTCAGTTACTCATGTGCAAAAGAAGAAGGTGTAGGTGAAGAAGACAGGGGGAGGATGTCTTGGGAGACAAGGTGGGGCAACACCAAAGGGACAGTACTGATCCTGAACAGAGCAAGCTGTCCTCCAGAACTGGGGTCAGGACCCTTCCTCAGACCCCTGGCACAGCTCTGTGAGCTGCCCAAGCTGCCAAACCCACTAGTGAAACATCTCCATGCTGCACTGGACAGTACAGGTGAAGGACACCAGGCTGTTCCTACTGGCTGGATGGCTCAAGTTAGACACCTGTGGATCTACAAAGGAAGAAAAAAAGCAATTACATTTTAAAATAATGCTGCAAAGGAGCATGTAAAGATAGTAAGTGTGGATAGTGAATATTTACCAAGATGCCATCTTTAACCAACTGTTGGGGTTTGGGATGGTCCAACAACTGGTTCTTCCAGCCCTCAGGAGAAGCTTCTCCCAGGAACCCATTGGTGCTGTGTAATGACCAGAACTATTTGTGGGTTCTTCCTTGTTTGATTTAAAAATTGGAATGCATGATATCAAAGCGATATGGTTGATGGGCTCCTGCTCTTCACCATGGATTCCCTGCCTCTGCTGCAAACTTCCAGTTTGTTGTGCTGCTGATTTCATTCATGCTGGAACTTTCCTAGCCCTCAGCAATGCCTTCTGCAGGTACTCATGGACATGAGACACCTCAGCACTCCTGACTTCAGCCACAGGATTTAGGCCAGTGTCTGCTAATTAGCATCCCAGGGCCTGACTGGGGGTTTGCTCAGTAGGCTGGCAGTAGCAAAAGTTTTCCAAGGAACAACTGGTTGGATGATCCCTGGTAATTGCCCCAAAAAGCTTCCAGACAGCAGTGACTTGGGTGCCTGGGAGGAGCCCTTGCTTTCCCACACCTTCCACTTCTGCTCCCAGCATGTTTCCATCTCCTGGAGTGGAAGGGAACAGTTTCTCCCCTCAGCTTTTCTTACCATGTAGTGAAATTGGACTTAGTTCCTCATCTTAATTCCAATTTTAAATAATTGAAACATGAAAGCCTTTACCCATGTGGACAGCAAGCAAGTTCATGTTCCTATGGAAACCTGAACTTTTTCTTGGCTTTTATTCAACACCCTTTTTTCATAGCTAGTCCTGAATGTGTGCTTATCCGTATTTTTGTATATAAACAAGGACTCATAATTATGATTCCTTGAATATCAAAAGAGCTGTTGCCTTTTCTAAGTGTTGCATTGCTGCAGCACTGGGTGCAGAGGTGCCCAGAGGCTGCTTGAAGTGGTTCATGTCATTCATTCCATTATACTCCTCATTGCTTTAGTGTTCCTTTCAATGATCTCAGTCTAAAATTCATTATGAGTTCACTGCAGTCCTGTTTTTCTCACACAGAAGGCTGTACATGCTGATCAGTGCATCTGATGACATTTCAAGAGCATTTAAATATTTAAAGTTGAATCAAGCTTCAAAGCTGGTGAATGAGGGTGTGGAAGTGATTTATGGCTTGTCTGCTGAAGTGCTTACATGGCTCCAAGTTCCCTTTTGACAATCAGGGGTGCTTTTTCATTTGGAAGGTATTGAGCCAGCTAACCCTGATTTTTAAATTTATTCAGTTTAACCTTGTTCTACTTTTCCAAACTTACCTCCAGAACCCTCTACAGGGAGTCTAGGTTTGGAGTATTAAATTTGCTGTCATGCAGACATGGACCTGAGCCAAGTTTTAAGAAGCGTTTTCTTTTCTCCACCAGGTTGGGAAGTAGCAGTTCCTCTCCCAACCTCAGGGGAGGTTGGCTGTGCTAGTGAAGAGGGAGCTGTTACAAAATGCGAAACTATTTAAAAGGGAGAAGGAAGCATGTCATTATTTTACCAGAAGGCAGATTTTCTTGGGATGAAAAGAGCTTGAGGGGAGGACAGATGTGCAGAAGAGTTTGCCAGAGCTGCTGAACTGACTGCATGTGTGTAGTCCCTCTGCTCGCTGACCAGCCAGCCTGTGGCTGAGAAGAAGAGGAGATACCTTGCTTCTGGAAGAGAAAAAGAAGAGTAAAATAATTTTCACTGATTATTTTTAAATAAGCAAGCAGTTTCCTGGGTGATTTTCTAACAAAGTATCATTGGTTTAGTTGAATTCCTCTGGTATTTATGTTGGTGCAAACTGTGTATTTCCAAGGTTGGATTTTCCTGTCAGCTCCTCAAAAATACCAAAAGAAGTGATTTTGAACATGGCACGTAGGGGATCCATGATTCTGTCAGTAAATTCTATTCTATGAAGAACAGGTTTCATAGGCTTTCCCTTAAAAATCAGTAGCCCTGCAATTATAGTTCTAGTTAAATCTTTGCCTGCTGTTTATTAGGTTTTGCTGCCAAGCAAAGCAAGGTTTCCCAGCTCTCTTGCTTGGAATTAAAATTAGAAATTGTACATCAGGGCATGGCTGTGAAGGCAGGAATGTAATTATTCCTTTCTTTCTCTGCAGAGGATGTTGTGGATAGGATTGTGCCAATTGAATGCCACTCTTTTGTTTCCAGGTCTCTGTGGTCAATCAGTTGGATATGCAAGTCATCGTCTCCAACGTTCCTCCCACCCTTGTGGAACAAAACAAAGATCAACTCATAGGGTAATGCATTTATTTGCTCTACAAATACGAAGCAACTGACTGGTTTGGTGTTGAGATTCAGCAGAGAGTGCCCTCCTTATGCCATGATCTTGTTTTTTGCCAGAAGACTTGAAAGCAGGTACACAGGTGTTTTGGTGGGGAGCACAACTTGCTGCGTGACAGCACTGCCGCCCCCCCAAAAAAGCCACATTTTCCCCCAAAGCCACATTTTCCCCATCCTCTGGAGGAGGCAGAAGTATGTAGCACTTCTTGGCTTGCACGTTTGCCCATTTTGCAGACTGAAACTGGGTTCAGAGCTGCCTCCAACACAGACCGTAGCAGAGCCTTCAAACACCCAGCACAGAAACTGCATCTGTCAAAATCCCGGATGGCAAATGAATCCAGGACATCCCCAAGGGGCTGAGGCAAGTGTGTCTCAGCCAGCTCTCCTGCTTCCCTGTGGTTTTGTTTGGGTGATGCAGCTGGAAGGGAAAGCAGGATTTAGAAAACTTATACTGGTGCAATTAATGCCACATCATGACATTAACTGCCAAAAAATGGCACCAGGGTGTTGTTATTCAGACTTGCAGGTGTGTCAAATGTGATGGAGGGCAGGTAACTGGGGTCATGGAAGCTTTGCAACAGAAATAGGTATTTTACCATACTGGAAGTCAGCTGAAGTCCTTTTGGTAAAATATGTTTTAACAGCATTTCCTGCAGATCAGCAGCAGCTTCCAGGAGGCACAACTTGCACTTTTACCTTCTTTTTGCATGACAAGGATGATTGTCTGTACTTGTGTCTTTGGGCATATAACCATTAGATTAATTAGACAGTACAGGCAGGAAGTAGTTTCAAAACAATCTTTGTGCCCTTCTGTCACTGTAATCAGGGATGAATGGCATTTCTCATGTTCCACCAGGTCTATTCCATCCTGACTGTAGCATGCCTTTGCTTCTCCTTGGGGAAGGAAACACCTTTGGGTTGTTGACACAATCACTGTCTCTGTGCTCCAAAAAACTCTTTCCTGCCAGGCTGGAGCCTTTAAAAACTTGTTTCGTGCTCTTTGGGCCCTTGTGGATGGAAGTCTCTGACAGATGTGTAAATATTTCACAGTGAGTGAGGCTTTTGAATGAGAACAAAAGTTACAAAACCAACCATGGCCAGGATTTGAGTTCTCAGAAGTAGCTTGGGAAATCTTTACCTTCATGGGCTCCATGAGGCCACCAAGTAAGTGTAGCCTAAACATTTCACTTTTAGGGATAAGCTGTTATGGACAACATTTGGCAGAAGGGATTGCATCAGCTTGTTTTAAAGTTGTCAGTCTTTATTGATAATATTTGCAGAGGGCAAAAGGCTGTGAAAGGATTTTGCATAAGTACTTGTCTGTTTCACATAGAGTATTTTTATTTCCTTGCTGTCTTCAAATGTCTTAGATTTTCCTTTTAATGTTTAAAAGATTGGTCTCTCCTTGCTTTTTGTAAAGGGTTTAATAATTCATGCAGGACATAAAACCATAATAATAGGAATTGATGATTTTTCATGTGCTATCCACAAGATAGGACCACAGGCAAAGGGAAACAGAATAATTTGGAGACCTTCTTAGGGTAAAGTACTTCTGCTCAAATTGGTTTGTGAGCCATTTCAAATAATGCCCTAATTTAGATAATTAGAACACTTTGTATAATTCATTAACAGATAAAAAGACTATACCATTAGCTACATCATCCACCACAGGGGTTATTCAGCTCTTTCTCCTCTCTTTTTTTGGCACTGATAGTAAATATTAATCTCTGAAAATATCACTTGCTCCCCAGTTGCAATACTTGGTGATGGGGAATGTGAGGGAAGGGGGTAGTTGGGTTGGTTCTTAAACTATAGTGATTTTTCAGCATAAAATAAACAGGGATTTAAACAGTTTTGGATAACAAGTTCTAACAGTTTTCTCCCCAGCAGTCTGTAATTGTCATTAGGGAATGGATACAAGGTATTAAGAAGTATATAAAAAATATATAATTGGGAATTTCCACCCTGGAATGGCTTGCTCAGCATAGCCCTGAGGTAGATGTTGGTTAATGGTCCAAACCAAGAAAGTACAGCAGAAAGATGGACAACACATTGCACATCATGTAACTTTAGGTATAATCATAGTATATGAGATAATATATGTTATATAGAGGAGCTGCAATGCACAGGCCCCTCTTCAGGGCAGGCTTTGAGAATGTGGGTGGTTTCCCTTCAGGTGTGGCTTGCTGTTGACAGTCTAGCAGTGTTCTCTTGTCTCAGTGAGTGGCATCTACAGGGCACAGCTGAGGTGAGTGCTTCATGTGGCACTTGTGGCACGTAGTTAATTTCCCTGTTCCTGCTGGTTTTGGTTTTTCAGAGTGTTGGTGTGCTCAGTGGTTGGCAGGATGTGGTTGGCAGGATGAGTGGCTGCCTCTGAAATGCAGCTGATTTCTCCAGATGGGGCTGGATCATGGAACCAGATGTTAGGAGGCATCACTGGCATGCCAGGGTAGGTAGGTTCATCCTGGTAGGTTCAGTGAAGCCAGACACAGGGACCCCTCAGATGGGCTGCCTCATAGGTGATGTTTGGAGCTACAGGGCCTTTGAAAGCACCCTGAGCTGTATTAAATATTCACCCTTAGGGCATCAGTGTTTTTTCTTCTCTTTAGTCCATGAATGGGTAGAAAATGAGCATGTTTCCTCTGCTGGATTTAGTTGCAGTATGTAAATCACTAAGACTCATTAGTTTTCCCACAGAAGTACCAATCCACTGCTTGCTTCATGATGTTTGCCACCTAATTACTGAATTAAGCCTAATTACGGGTGACTGGACCTTCTACATCCTGGGGTGGTGGCAGCGTCCTTGCCACTGAGCACTGTTCACAGCAGGCACTGACTTTCCTCCCCATTATTAAATGTTCTTTAGTCCCAGGTTCTGCTGTAGGTGCCCTGTTCTTTGCCCCAGCACTCTGACAACATCCTGAGGTCATTTTGCTCCTGGTCCACCTCCCCTCTGCCTTTCTCCCTTTCAGTTCTTTGCACCCTGTTGTTTCCTTCCAAAGTAAGTTGCAAAATCAGCAGATAAATAAATAATGAGATCAGAGGGACATTTGCCACCAACTGGCTGCACTGTGTGTCATACCCACCCTGCATTTGGCTTTGCTTGGAGAACACAGCTCCTGTAGCTCTGGTTTGTACAGTGTTTAACTGAGGCCTTTCCATTTCTGAGCTGACCTTAGCCTCCCTCTGCTGTAGTCAGGATGATTAATAACTCAGGGCTGCCTTTATTAACTTAGGGAATAGAGACCAAAACTTACTCAGTTCCAGCTTGTCCACTCCCTACTTTCCTTGCCAGCTGGGAAGCACTGGTGCAGCCACCTCCTCCTCCCCCCTCCTGTCGGTGACACCCAGTGTTGTTCTGGGAATGTATTTTCTAGGAAGCCCTGTAATGGAGTAGGTGGCTTCTCAGATAAAGATGTCAACTTCAGCTCCAGGCTGAAACTGCTTCCTGTTGCAGTACAGACCCTTTTGTGCTGAGATCTGAAGATAGAGATGGGGCAAAGCCAGAGATGTCTCTGTTACTCTTTAGGTGAACACAGCATCACGTCCCTGCTGCGACTGGGGGAAATGGAACTGAGATAAAAAAGCTGTAGTGTCTGTAGGGGTTTTGGAGGATGAGCAGGAGAAGAAGAAAAGACACTTCAGCAATATGTAAGGAAGCATATTTCCTTGATGGTGGGCAATCCAATATGCTTTTCCAGGAGGAGGGAGAGTGGGTGTAAAGACCTCGTCTCTGGGTTGTTTTCTAAATAATTTAGACGACATTATACACAGAGTAAACCTTCCTGCTAGTACATGCCTTGTGGGTGAGATAAAATCAGACATAATCTTTCTCAAAAGGCTATTTTATAAAAAAGGAATAATCTTAGCAGCCCTGAAGCAGCTGGGTGCCTCTCCAGAGGCCACACAAGTGGTGTCACCTCCCCTGGGCTGCACCTGGGGTGGGATGAGGCACCTGGGAGCAGGTGGCTGTTTCCTGAGGGCATCACCCCCCCAGGGCCAGCACTGCCTGCACAGGAGGGGCTGGAACTGAGCCATGGGTGTTGGTACAGCTGCAAATCCAGCAGCTCAGTGGTCAGGGACTAATCTTGCAAAATCTCAGCACAGCCAGAATTTGGCTGAAGGTGAGCGAACTTGGGAGAGAGAGTGACAGCAGTTAATGTGTGTTGCTGTGTGCCAGCAGAGCTGAATCCTCTCATCTGGCCATTGGTGCCAAATCTGCTGATGTTTCCAAATCCTTGGAATATGAATTGATTATTATTACTAAATTACTTGGGGAAGATACACTCGGGGGTGTGACTTGCAGTTGGAACCAGTGGCTGCAGGGTATCTATTTCTCACAGCCAGAAAGGAGTCTGCTCTTTGCTTTTGAATGTTCATCATGTTTCAGACAAAGCTATTCTCAAGGACACTGAATTCCAGCAGAAGCCATTTCAAATTTCTGAGAAAAGGGAATGTTGTGTCCAATCCTGCTAGAATTGACCCTGACCTTCTGACCTTACAGGGCATTTCTGTCTGGGGTGAAATGATAGTTCTGTGCAAGGAAAGAAAATCATCCCCCTCCTGCAGCAGCAGCATTCATCAGGCAGGTTCATCTTTAATGTAGTTGGTCTGACTGAATCCCGGTGCTAAGCACCATACTAAAGATGGTTCTGCTTTCTTTTAGTCACCTTCAGGGAATGTTTGGAGGTTTTTTAGGCGTTATCTGCATATCCCAGAGACATTCTGTCAAGTTTTACCTGGGAGAATTATTGTTCCTGAGGTGCCTGTGACAGGTTATCACCTTAGCTGCCAGAAGCAGAGATGAGTAGAACCTGCCCTATCTGCAAACAACAGGAGAGCTTGTTTAGAGTCTGTCAGTCACCGAGCAGCATGTCAGACAATCTGCTATTTTTATTTTCCCTACCAAAATGGCTCTGCACTTAGAGGAGGTATTCACTGCCAGGCTTGGACCTGGGACTGACAGACTTGGATATTTCAAAATCTCCTAGAAAAGCTGCTTTTTTAAGGGCACGTTGAACTTGCACACAAAGAGCAGAGAAAGCAGATGGATAAATGAGAATCAGTGGTCTTGAAAAATTATGAGGTGGTGCTGCTGCTTTGACAGCATTATTGGACTTCGGAGATCTTGTGTCAGGAAAAAGCCAACAGCAAATTGTAAACTCAGCAACTGCAGAAGATTTTGTTTAAAACAAGAGACTTCTTAAGAGTCATTTATGTCTTGTTTTTATGAGATTTGTCTTCCTCTGCACCCTCGTGCATCCTCACTTTATCAGGCAGCATGTTCCCTCTTGTTCCCCTTGCTTCTGCCTCTGAGCTCAGCTACTGGTTTTTGATATTCCAATCACATAAACTAGTCTAGAAAATCTTGTGTTTTCCCTAACTCACAGTTCTGAAGGAGCGTTGAGCCTTCTCTTGTGTATTTCTCCATACTTTTCTGCCCCTACATCCAATATCAATGGTACTTGCTTTTATGTCTTTGCTTACAGAACCTTGTGGGCTTTAACTGGGCCCATCCCATTCCCAATTCAGAAACATCATCATGCCATTAGCAAGTCTGTGTGCAAAGGTGCTGTTCCCAGTTTCCCTGGGATACATTCTGTCCTGGCTCATGGCAATGGTTAAAGCTCTTCTGATGGCACTAAGTAGCTTTCCATTTTTATTCTGCCTCCATCCATTCTTGCCAGAGTTGGGGTCCCCACCATCCTGACTGTCAGTCTCAGCTGCAATGGGAGGGTCAGTTCTGTGGGGCACAGGATGGGAAAGTCATCCAGCTGAACTGTGACTCTTCCAAACCTCCTTTTTCCCTTGAATGCACAGTGCAGGAGGTAGAAGCAGTCTGCTACAAAAGCTCCACAAATGTCATGGACCCCACCAGAGCAGCAGACCAGAGAAGGAAAAAGGAACATCATGTGTTGGGTTTTTTTTATCTTCGAGCAGTTTGTTAGAGTAGTGAGTTATGCTTGTAACTATCCATAAACTCTCTGTGCCTGAGGTACAGGTGTGCTCGGAGTCTGTGCAGAACTTCTCAGGTGCTCAGTGAGGCCCTTTCCCCATCAGCTGGGTGCTCCTGCAGGCACACACAGGCCCTTGCAACCACAGGCACAAGGGCTTATTGTTTGTTTGGAGGGGCATTCTGCAAACAGCCATTCTCCTTTGGCCTTTTGGAATGTTTCAGGAATAACATCCTGTAAGGACTTCTCCCATAAACAGTTCTGCATGGAAAACTAGAAAAATATGGGATTTAGGATTTAAAACAAAGGCTTCCAAAAGTGCATGCGAAGGGGTCTTCAGGCAGATGTAAAAAGAAACCAAAAAGAAGGAGTGTTTAGTAGTGAGGACAACTGATCACATGACATGAATTAATAAAATGCCCATTAAATATCCTCTTAATTCCTCAATGAATTTTTATTCCCCAGAACTACAGTTCTCTCTCGTGTTGACAGACACACACCCATCCACAGAGTGTGCCAGTCTGAGCTCTGGCAGCTTGTAATGAAACCTCCTCTTTGCCAAGAGAACAGGTTTGTGTGGGTTGATTGTTGTTGGGCCCCAATTATCTCAGCCAGAGCTGCTGCTGAATCCTGTGAACCTGCCTTTCAGCTTTTTTTTTTTTTTTTTTCCTGTGGTAAATGTGTCATCTTTTATTTTTATTATATTTATACCTGTATTCCTAATTTCCTGTGGCTGCAAAACTTGCTCACGCCTTTTGGAGCAGCAGGTCTTCTGGCACCTGATCTGTTGTTCTGTACTGGAGGGCCAGGTGAAATATCCCACCAAAAAGGGTTGAAATGGTTGTTTCTGTGGGTGAAAATGTATTGTATGCACCCTGTGTGAGGCTGGAATTGAGTGCTGAAGTCATACAGCTTAATAAAAGGGTGACAGGGCTTTTGGTGTGAAATATAGATGGTGTTTCCCACGAGCCACTTAAAACTGAACTGATGTCATAAATACAAGGAGCTAGACTGGAGGACACTATTTCTGGTGACCTCTCCTAACACTGCAAAGCTTTTCCCAAGGGTTCAGCATCTTGGTGTTTCTGTTGCAGCAGAGGTTTTTCCAACGTGCTCTGAAGGTGACCATCCTTCTCAGCCCACGGGTTTTGTCTATAGGTATTTCATTTGGGCTGTTGTCAGTCTTGACCAGCACCAGTAAATCACTGCAGCTTTCTGGCTCCATCTCACCTGCAGGATTCTGGAACGCTACGTCCAAGACCAGATTCCTGGGGCCACGGTGGTGGTGGAATCCATCGGCGCACGGAGGTTTGGGGATGGGTACTCTGAAGAGGACTATACCAAGTCTGACCTCATGGTCTACGCCATCGACCCCCAAACAAACCGAGCGATCATGAGGAACGAGCTGTTCAAGTAAGTGGGTCATTTGTTGCTCTTCCTGTGTTTCTGTGTGTTGGGATCTAAACACTGTCAGAGCTGCAACACGCTCGGTCCACCCCGTGGAGGAGCTTCTGGTTGAAATCCCTCTGAAGGAATTTACTTGCTGTGTACCAAAACTTCTCTGTCATCTCCAACAAGGCCTTTGGTGCTCCAGTCGTTGACCTTCAGGCTTTCTGCAAGTTTCCATTTCCAGCACTTCTCCTTCTCTTTCCCAAAACTTTCCCTCTATGTGGAAACCAAAGGAGGAGGAGGGGAAGGCAGAGAGGGGGTGGGCACCTAGCCTGAAACACAGGGGCAGGAATCACCTAACATGCAGTGCTCACTGGGCTGAGCAGGGGGATCTGCATGGGGCCATCCCAGCAGCTGCCCCAGGAGGTGGGCAGCAGCAGTAGCAGGCCACTGACATTCACCACTGGAGGTTGTTTTGCCTTTTTAATCAACTTCCAAACAAGCAGTGAAATTCTAGTGTCATGACAACCACGTGAGGTGGGTTTTCGTTACCTGGTGATGGACCCAGCAAGCTGCTGGGGAGTGGGCCAGCTCTGGCCATGGCAGTGGAGGGTTGGTTGGGGAGCGGCTCTGCTTGGGGTCTGGCACTGGTGGGATCTGCTCTGGGTGCCAGCAGGAACTCCACTCTCTGCCTGCCTGAGAAGAGAGAAGCCAGAGGTGACATGGGCGTGGAAATGAAATCAAGGTCTTCCCTTCACATGGTTTTTCTGAGTCTTCACTAGCAGTAAGGAGGTTCTAAGACAAAATTAGTCTCTGAACCCATTCAGCTGCTGATGTACCATTTGGTTAGAAACTCTGTTTTTGTGTTGCATGGGATGCAGAACAGTGAAAATGCAAATCAGGCTCTTCTCCTAAAGCAGCCACGATCTTTTGAGGGGTTTTTTTTGCTTATGTTTCACCTTTGTGTTTGCTTTTTATCTCAGTGAAAACTAGACCAGCCTGTTCAATAAGGGTATGAAGCAGCATGTCAGTCAGCAGCCTGGAAAGCAAATGGCAGTGAGGCATCAGGGTGGACTCTGTTTGAAGAAGGGCCTGTTCTCCCAAGCTCCTAGTTGAGTCCAGATGAATTAGAGCACACCTCAGCTCTGTGAATTCCCAGGGTTTATAGGTTGGAAAAGATGACTGCGTTCAGTCTGACCTAGTGTAACAAAGACCATAGAAACTCAACATTCTGTTCTGAGTGTGTTTTTCAGCAAAGCAACTGCTCAACAAAATCCAATCAACTACAACCTTTGTGTTGTTATTACAGGGTAATTTTTTTTAATGACAAAATTGAGGCTTTTTTCTTGTTCATTTGTCTAGAGTTTAATTACAATTTGGGTGCTGGATTGATGGCTGCTTTAATTTCTGATTCCCACCAAGGTCTAGGGTTATGAACACATCACAGAATCATCCTGGTTGGAAAGGACCTTGAAGATGATCAAGTCCAACCATAACCTAAATCCACGAACTATAACCTAAACTACCCATTCAAGTGCTTAAATCATGTCCCTAAGCACCACATCTAAGAAAGCAGGGTTTTTTTAGTTATTATGCCTGAAAGATGAAACAAGCAAAGAAAACCAGAAGCAAGGTTTACTTCCAGCTAGTGCTAGTGCTTCACAGCATCCTCTTAGGTTTTTTTCTTGAGAGGTTCCTTGACCTCTGCATTTAGGTCTATGTTTTAATCACTTAAAGAGTTTTTTCTGAACCCTCTCTAGTCTTCCAGCATCACTTTGTGAACTGGGAATATCAAAATTAGATGTAGTTTAGCAGGGGAGGCTTTCAGAGCAGTGGCAGTACAGCCTCCTTCCTTGTGGTGGCCATTTGCTGATGTAGGTATCTCCATGGCCACAGAGTCCATTTTTGAGATCTCAGTGATGCACTGGGAGTTGATGTTCATGTGTCCACTGCCAGAGCTGCTGATCATTCCCAGAATGGGATCTCTGTGATTTTGGTTCCAATATTATTCAAGATTGGAAGTAGAAAATGAGGAAATCTGGCAGGAATCTTAGGATGGTGAAGGTTGGAAGGGACCTTAAAGCTCATCAGGTTCCAACCCCACTGCTATGAGCAGGGACACCTCCCAGCAGCCCAGGCTGCACAATCCTCATCCAACCTGCCCTTGAACACTTCCAGGGAGGGGACAGCCACAGCCTCCCTGGGAATCCCTGCTAGATAATAATTTTCCTTTCCATCTAAGGAAGAGTGCCAGGAAATCTGCTGGCAGGGCTCCTGTTGTACCCCAACCCACTTTCAGAGAGAACCTGAAAATGTATGGGGTATCAGCTTAGAGGCAACCTCATTAAAATGCTCTCCATGCCTGCTTTTGCCTCAGCTTTGCTGCTTTTCTTCTCCTTTTTCTCCCTCCCTCTCTTTTATCTCTTCAAAAGCTTTTAAATATTTAAATTGGCAAAATCCTGGGGAATTCTTTCCTGGCTTTAGGGTAGAGGTAAGTGTCAGCTTACTAAAGGAAGGAAAGGAGTGAAATGAGAGTTTTGTGGCTTGACATCTGAAGTTAATGAGTTTTCACTAGCACGTGGGTGAACTTCAAGAGATTTGGTTCAGCTCAGGTTCTTAACCAAATCTGAAAATAAATTCCTTCTGGAATTCCTTCCTGGAGTTCTGATCTTTCAAAGGATGGCTCCACAGGACACAGTAGCAATGGTTGTCCCCTCAATGGGAAGAGATTGCCAAGAGTCACAACCAGCCTTCTGGCAGCCAGCAATCTGCCCTGGATCCTAGCAGAAAAGAGATGGAGAGGAGAAAGGATCATTTAATAAACTGGATGTGATGGGAGAAAGGTTAGAAAGTTAGAGATGGAGCCCCCTGTTTTAAGAACTTAATTAGCAATAAGGAATATTAATTTAGCCACGCTAGGTGTTCAAAAGTTTCCTGATGGATAGATACAGCAGAGAGAACTGTACCAACAGCCCAGGTTCAGCACATGGATTCTGCCAGTTGATTTTAACACAAGTTGCACAAGTACCATGTACTGCAAGATACCTGTGGCTTTTCTGAAATGGGCTTTTTGGGAACAACCCTGCTGTGTTCCTGCTTTTCAAACACAGTGGAGGCCTTGAGTCTTAGCAGTTTGTGTTAAACCTGTCACTGTTTAGAAGCAATAATCTGTGCAGCTCTTTTAGGGAAATGGGGTGGGTTGGGGAGGAGAGTGGCCTGTTCTCCTTGGCTGCTGGGACACAAGTACCAGTGGTGACATATCCTGGTTGGTGCTGGCAGCACTGGGGTCCCAGAGGTGCTCAGCTTTAGATGGGAGCTGGGAGGGAAGGACAGGCTGGACAGCTAATTCCCACCAGCAGCTGCACTAAGTCACACTTGGGACCAGCTACAGAGCAGCATTCCCACAAGGAGCAAACCACACTGAGCCAAAGGAGATGCTTGAGGCTCCCAGAGCCCCCCCTGGCCAGTGTTGCTCCAATGTCATGTCGTGTCCCATAGTCTGAAATGAAGAGATAAAGGAGGTGCAGAGTGCTCTGGATGTGCTGGATTAACAGATTGTGCTGTACTCACTACCAGGCTACCTCACATCCAGAAGTCCCACCCGAGTAGCCCAATCCCATGTTTTCCAAAGCCAAGATTCAGAAGTCATGGACATAAGAGCCACACTGTGCTCCTCAGTGCCAGCTGGGGGAACTCATGTCCCCAAGATAGCCTGATTTGTCCCTGTCCTGTACTTGGTAAGACTAATACACAACAAGAGATCCATACTTTTCCTTCAGGCTGTTGTGACTACTACCTGACATTTCTATTCATCAGGAATCTGCCTGGTGACACCAAAAAATGGCTCTGAATAGTCACTGTGCTTTGTTATTTCTTCCCTCTACCATCAACTCCTGCAAAATGTTCAGGCCACGTAGATAATTTTTACAGACTGAAATGATCAGCCTCCTGTTCTACCTTTTATGTGAAGGATTTATGGGAGCATAAACCAGTCGAATCCAGAAAATATCTCCTGCATGTACTAAGTGGAAAAGGTCCAGCATGAAAAAGAAAATGCTTACCCTGCCTGAATATTTTGTACCGTGTGTCATGTTTCATCGCGGAGTAAACGCACACGGTTGAGCTATAAATGTGTTAAAATGGGGTTTGTCAAGAAAAATGCAAAGAGCTGGTGGAAACCTCCCCAAGATGATGTGCTGTCCTGCCCTGCTGTCCTCCCACCCAGCCAGGGGACATGGAGCAGCCACCAGTGCCATCTAGTGCACAGCTCCAAAGTCCCAGCTCCCCTCACACCAGGAACTGTCTCTGCAGGTCTTGGTGAAAATAAGATTTATTTGCTCAAACACCCAGAAAACGTTTTGCAGGAGAAATCATGGGATTAGGGAAGTGATTCCTCAAAATGCCTTGGGATGCTTGGTGTGCTTGTGGGGCTGGGAGGGAGCAGGCTGCACTGGGAGGTCAGTCTCAGGGAAGCAGCACCACATCATTGTCCAGCTGAGCTGCATGTGTGATGAGCCAGGGAGTATGTGACACACACAGAGTGTGTCCTCCTGAGTGCCACAAAACCCGGGGACAAACAGTGCTGTGAGGGTGTGTCAGCACGTTCCTTTGAGAGGGAATCAGTTGCAAGAAACCAACACCCTTTAGGAAGGGGTCTTTTAGGAGTGTAAGTTCTGCCTCATGATCAAGCTAAGGAAATAAGAGCTATTTCAGACTTTCTTTAGACACCCAGAGTTTCTACAGAATTCCTTTCAGAAACTTTGAGCTGTTGGGGTTGGGTTTTTTTTGTGGGTGTTTTGTTTTGTTGTTTGTTTTTATTTTTAATCGTTGTGGGTTTTTTTCATCTTTCTCTAGAAGAACCAGGGGGTTCCAGGTCTGGGGTTCTGCTGTAGACAAGAGCCAGCAGGATCCTCCTTCATCCTAATGGGTTTCTCCTACTTCTGTCCCTGTAACTGTAGCCTTTGGCTTGTCAGCTTGGGAGACAGTCAATCCTCACTTGAAAGATGATCCAATAGTTTTTATTTCCCTTTGGAAAGTGAAGACCAGTATATTTTTTTTTTTCAAATCCAGCCTGAGCAAAAATATGTTTTTCTAACTTCTTAAGTAAATTTCTGTCACAAACACACTGCTTGCTGTCAAAAAGTCACCCAAGAGAAAATTCTCAGTCATATGGAAATGAGAGGATTTGATTAGGATTTCTATCTGGCTCCTGACTGCCAATTGTCAGGCCAGATACTGAGCCTCTTCCCCTCCATTTGCTTTTCAGGCACCATTCCAGTTACCATGTGCTTGGGAACTGTGTTGTTCCAAGCTGCCCTCACAGGTGATGCCCACTGGGAAGATGGACATTATTATAGGTTGCAAGCACTGACAGGTTAATTGCTGAGCTAATTACCCTGCTTGTGCCTTGGAGCTACCTCTGTGGTAATGGTGTGCCTTGCAGGCCAACTGGAAGGCAGTGTTATTCTGATGGCTGTGTTGGTCCTGCCATTCCTGATGCTAGTCAAGATTGTTTTGTTGTCTGGCAGTGTTTGGAGACATCCTGAAGTTTAAATTCCAGTTTGTTTGAAGCATTTAGTGCTTTTCCTTTAGAAGAGGTGTGAAACTCCAGAAGGAATGGCCTCATCTTCTCAAGAAAAGGAAGAGGAGAATGTTTTGGCCCTAGAAATCAGAATAAGCTTCAGCTGACCTCTCATTTACAGCACTCAGAGTGTGTCCTGGCACTAAGTACACTGGAGTTATCACTGACAAAGGGATTACAGAGAATTACTAATATTCTTCAGCAGATAAAGAAGAGGTCTGTGCTTTATCAGAGAGCGGTTATTAACCCCGCTGCGCAGTAACTCCGACACCGCTCGTCAGCTCGGCTGTAACAGTTTTCCTTTGTGCCACTGAAGGTTCCTGGATGGCAAACTGCTGGATATCAACAAGGAGTTTCAGCCCTACCTGGGGCAGGGGGGACGCATCCTGGAGATCCGCACCCCGGACGTGGTTGCCAACGTCAAGAAGCAGGCACAGGCCGTCGGCTTCACGGAAGGCGCCCTGCTGGCCCTGGCTGTCATCATCATCCTCTGCTGCATGCCTGCCATCCTCATTGTCATGGTCAGCTACAGGCAGTAAGTATCCTCCTCCTCCTCATGTTGTAGTAGGGCTCCTACATTTCTTTGCAGAGCTGCTTGGGAAATTATCCCTCGTTGCAAGGAAATGAGTGTCCAGGGGAACGGTTCTAATTGCCCCCTCAGCACCAGAGCTGGTCGGTGCTTGGTGTGGGCTGTGCATGAAAAAGGAAGATGCATGGCAAGTACATCTTGCTGTGTTCTCTGGAGTTGTGGGGCACGTGTCAAATCACAAGCTCAAAAGCCAGGTGTCTGAAACACAAGTGTAGGATCGGAGCAGAATTCCACACCAAAAAAAAAAGAGTAAAAATATGCTAGTCCAATAAATCAAACCAAAATCAGATTGTGCAGCTCAGGAAGAGTAAGAGGACTCAACTTTTTCTGCTTAAATCCTGAAGTGCTTCCAGTTATTTCCCCCCCCTAGCTGTATGCTTCTTAATTGCAAATGTTGCATGAGGACTTGATTTTGTCTCATTTTCACAGTATCTAAAGCAGCACACACCACAGAGAACCTTCTAGATATTTCCACTCACCTCTTACAGACTCAAGAGGTTTAAGTAAATTGGGCTAACAGACTAATTAAAGGATCAACATCACTAACAAGTTCCTCCCAACTAAGCCTTTTCAGGTCCACTCATGTTTAAAATCAATCTATTTGGACTCAAAGGCTGTATATTTATTCTTTTATTTGTTCTCATGATAGATTCCTAATTCCATGTGCATGCTTTGAGCACTCAGGATTACCAACCACTACAAAATAAAAAATTCTGTGCATCTTCCCCAGTAAATGGCTATAATCAGCCTCTCTATATATATTGGTCTGTATCTCCTTGTCTTTCTATCTTCACTTTAAAAACTGGTGAGCTGGAATGTAATATTTCATTACCATGGAAAACCTCTGCTCCCCAAGACCACATAAGAAGATGTTCCCAGAGCCCTGCTGGATGTTTAAGTGGTGATGATCTTGGAGGTGTCTTCCAGCCAGGGACATTCTGTGATTTAACAAGTGTATCTGGCATGCAAAGCCAGCAGCCTGCCTGAGAGACCTCTCCTTAGTGGCACCAGGAAAACAGCCAAGGATATAACCACAGTTAATACACAGTCTTGACATTATATTTGCATCCCAGTATCTCCAAACATTTTGGGGCAAAGGAAAAAATAATTTTAAAGGAGTTTGAAAGGGCTTGGAAAACTTCATTGCCATTAGGTTGACAGTGATCTCAAAGCTGCTTGACTTCTCCCCAAATCCTGTATAAAATGTGCTTCCAGTGAAGCACCACTGAACCAGCCCCACCTGCAATTACTTGTTGTTGGTATTTGAAGTGCCTGTTTCTTTAAGAAATCTAATAGCACTATTTTTCTTTGCCATCTCTTAGATTAGCCAACAACTACAAATCTCTCTTAAGAGCTTTCAGGAATCTGCTTAACTTCCTTTCATCAAAATGTCATTTTTTTGTTGTCTGGAAATATTACCTGGATTTATAGCAGATCAATGTGACTAAATTGTACTTTCACCAAAAAATGTGTCGCCAAAGAAAAGAAGAGGAATTTTAGTGTTCATATCAACATGAAAAGCCTTGGGTTTGCATTACAGCCTTTTTTCTCCATTTCAAGAGGAGTTTCAGTGTTTTCCCTGATAAGGTTGTGGCAAAGCAGGTGCTCCAGTCTGTCACTGAGAGTGGAGATTATAGCAGGATAAATGTAACTGTCATACTCTCAGCACATGAGATGGAAATGGTAAGATTTCCTCATTGTTAAAACTGTTTCCGTGCAGTAGGTCCATTTTTCAGTGCTTTCCAGATCAGCCATCAGCTTAATAAATTTTGTAAAAGTAATAGTTACTGAAGCCTAATTTTAATTTATAAAATCATCAAAGTGTGCAGCTCAGGGCCAAACTTGTGACTTGTAAACAAGCCAGAAACTGTCATTCTTCTTTTCTGTTAAGATTGTGTCTTTGGAATGCACTACCCAGTACCAACCCATAAGGTAACTCATGTATTATTTACTAATTGCAAAGGACCAGTATCTTCTAAACAGCAACCAAAAATCATACTCCATTATTAAAGATGTTTTCTGTAACATTCTTAAAACATGTTAAAATGAGAAAGCAGTTATAAAAATGCATCCCTAGTAGCTTACTAGAAATGCCATGAGGAATCTTCATGTTTTCTTGTCTTCTCTTCAGTGTGTGGCAGGGAGATGTTCCTTGAAAGCCCAGGCAGTTTTCCCCCTGTCACTCATTCTGTGCTGACTGCAGAGTTGTTTCCAGTCTCACAAACAGCAACTAAACACTATTCAGCTTTGGGTATCACAATCCTTTAAAGATGTCACTAATCCTGTAATTCTATGTGTGGAATAATTAAGCAGCATCTAGTTTATTACTCCTATTAAGTTCACTGCTTAGGACAACCATTGCAAACAGAATTAATTTACCTGTCTTTTTATCTCTTTATCTTTTTTTTTTTTTTTTTTTTTTTTTAATTTTGCGTAACAAACCAGATTCAAAGAGTAAGTACTTATTTCAGCTTTGTTTTAAACAGCTTGCCTAGGACTCCTGCCAGCCTCCTAGCCTTTATTTTTAAGACAGGGATACTTTGCATTCAGTAAGAGTAATACCACGTGTGCTGAGGTGAAGAGTGACCCCTGCTCAGAGTAGGTCACTGTTGCATGCTTGTGCTCCTCAAACATACTGTGGTTCATGTTGTCACCTGCTCCCTGCAGAGGGAAAAGTCAATATTCCCATCTGTGTGGCATCCCACAAGCAGGCAAGTGGGTGTCAGGGTAGAGTGGAGAGAGAGAGACTTCCCTGGGAAGGGATCAAGTATTGACCACCCTCCAAACCAGAGGAGAGATGGGTCAGTCCTGGCACCTCCCTGAGGAGCAGGAAGGACTGTGGGCTTTGCTTCCTAGAGAGAAAGTAGAAATTTGTTTCACAGTGAAAATGATTGTTTCAGGGAATCTCTTGGCACAGAAATTTCTCAGCCAAGTTTGATGTTGTAAGTGATAACTTAAGCTTTGCCAGGGACATTTTTTGGTGTGTTTTTAAAATTATAATTTCTTGGCATTTAAAAGACTTGACCAAAGCACTTGTTCTCTCCACTACTTGCCTTGGGCAGCCAGGACAGAGAACTCCTGCTGAGAGCAGAGTCAGATTACTGATGACATGATTTCCTGGGAAGTAGCTGCCATGGCAGTGCCAAGCTGCTGATGTGGACGTTTCTGTCCCCTGGGCTTGCACCAAGACAGCACAAGTAAGAGGAGGGCTGAAAAAGGCAGGAAAAGATGATCAGGTTTATTAGTTTGAATAAGGCAAAACGCAGGGATGTTTTTAAAAACTGCAGGGGAAAAAACATAGCAAAGTTTACATCTTGGTTTAGGTTGGGGTAGAGAGTGTTTCTAACCAGTGTTTCTCCCTCCCTGCCTGGCTCCCCGAAGGCGACAGGCTGAGTGTGCAAAGACTGCCAGGATCCAGATGGCTTTACCAGCAGGGAAACCAGCCAGCACTGCTGCCAACAACCTCTACGAAGAGCTGGGCGACAGCACCATGTGAGTATTCCTCGTGCTCCATCACTCACATCCCTAGTGACCAAAGCCATCACTCACTTCCCAGGGATAGTGCTTCATGCAGGCTGTCTCAAAAAGGCTTTTCTTCAGGAAAGGGTCTTGCCCCAGCACTTGGAGTTCTCAAACATCCACCAAAGAAGTAGAAAGACTCTCTTTACAGAGGAAAAACCGATTCAACCTGCTAATTGGGATTTCTTGTAGGGTGTAAGGGAATCTTTTAACAGGTACTAGGCAAAAAAAACAGGGTGGAACAGGTTTTTTTTCAACAGCCTCTAGCTGACCATTGCTTCCTGGGTGAGCCAGGGCTGGGCTCCTGTAGGGCCTTTCCAAATCCAGGCCAGAAAGCCACAGATTTCAAAGCTGTTGGCTAAACACAACCTATGAAATTGCTGCCCCAAAGCCCCCATTTTCTGTAGTAAGAAATGTTCTTTTCTGTTCTAAATTTTGAAATGGCTTGAATATTGAAATTGAAGAGAAAGGAACTCTCAACCACTGGCAGTCCAGTGAATGTATCTTTCACTTACACATATGCTTGTAAAATAATACTAGTACAAAGATCCCTACCTTTTCATGCTTCTGTAAATTAGAAATTTATGGACTCCTAGAGCAATTGAACTCACAGTGTGAGGATATTACAGCATGGAACAGCCAATTAATATTTGTATCATCCTGGGGAGTTGTGTTGATAAGCTCACCACACTGAACTCAGCTGTGGTGTTTGTATTTTTAAAGCAAGAAAGAGCATGAATGTGTTTGGAGACAGGTGAGAACTGAGCTGCTGGTGGTGCTGAGGGTTGCCCAACTTCTGCTCTGTTTGCAGTCACTCTTTGTTTTGCTCAGAAAGTTGACATTTTGCAGCTGCTGTGGCTGAGTTTCTGACCAGTTCAGGAGGCAGGGCAGGATATGTGTTCCTGCTGCCCTCAAGACCTGTCTGGATGCCTTTCTGAGTCACCTGCCCTATTTTTGGTCCTGCTGTAGCAGGGGGGTTGGACTCGGTGATCTTCAGAAGTTCCTTCCAACCCTTGACATTCTGTGATTCCCTGGGTAAACAGGAGCTGTGCTTGAAGTGAGAACAGCTTCTAACTTCTGAATTTCCTCCCCTGCCTTTACCTTTGGGAAGTGTCACTGCTGGGGCAGGAAGGGAGGAAAATCCTGTTTGAAAGTAGCACTTGGTCCTGTTTCTGAAGGTGAGCCCTTCTGCTCTGAAGCACAGGAAATCACATCTGCACACTTGGGCATTCAGTGAGGTGCCCTGCTGGAGGGAAGTCCCCTTGCTTTTGTGTTTAGCTGCATCTCTACTGAAATTAACCATTTGCTTCTGCTAATTTGACTGGCAGTGATATAAAGCTGATGACCTGTGGGAACTGAATGTGGGTTCATCTACCTCCTGTAGTGATGAACACCTTCTGCCAAGCCCAGGACAAGGCTCGTCCTGCTGGGTTTTAGCCTGCAAATATTTTTTTTAGGTTGCAGTTTTAGTACCACAGCATAAAGGTGCAGACGTACAGATTGGCCATATTGACTCTGAGGCTCAATTTATGCTAATTTTGACTAAAATCAGTTTTCATTGTACTGAAAAAGATGCCATATTTGGAATATCTTCTTTCTCTCAGATGTCTTTGCAAACAGCTAAGATTTACTCATATCCATCATGCTAAGGAACTGGTTAAACATAAACTAGTAAAAAACCTTACAAGGTGAATGAATATCCTTAGGTTTTTAAACACAGTAACATACTTGAATAAAAATAATTACAGATTATCTTTTTTTTTAACCTAGAAAATATCTGATTTCAAGGCACTGGTATACCTTAAGTCATTATCATTTGGGAAATACTATTTATTAACACTTTCCATAAATTTTAATACAATAGTTCATGTGTTTAGTTGTCCTAAGACAGTCATCTTCCATTTGCAGTGCTGCCTTGTGTCTTGTTTGCTTTATTTGGTGTTTCTAGCAACTGAAATGGAACTAAGCTCTTTAGTTTTAAACCTGCCTTGTCTCATAATTTTCATTTTTCTCTGTCTTTGGATACGTAGGCATCAGTAAGTAAGCTCATTTCATTGTCTTATCATTTGTAGATACTAGAAACAGTAGTTAATCTTCCTGTCAGTAATTCCCATTAAACCTTGCAATCTGAAGCTCATTTGTCCATTGATCAAGTACAGGAAAGACATTTACTGTGAAGCTTCAATACTTCTATGCTTCTTTACCCTTTTCTTGGAAGTGGAGATGAAGTGTGATTGCTGAACTTGAATGCTATTATTTCTAAAGCCAAATAGTCCTCCTGCCTTAAAAAAAACCAACCAGCAAAACCAACACTGAGCACAGGAGGTTGTTTTCAGTTCAAAACCTCACAGCTGGAGACAAGCAAAAGCTTTCTTGTCTGCCATTGCAGATCCTTGCAAGGCAGATACTTCTAATTTGCAGAAATGTGCTTCAAACTGGTGAGCTGATGTATCTTATTGATTAAAATACCTGTACATCAAGAGAAAAAGATGGCAGGATAACCTGATCCTTGAGAAGCTGCACATCCATGTGAAGAGAGGAAGGCACTGAGAAGCTTTTGAAATAATCTCCTCCAGTAGCACAAAGGTGGTATCATCTTGCATGAGCCCTCTGCTAGAGGGTTTCCTTCAAGTTCAGAATCATTAATTTCTCTCACCTCTAAATGGCTGGAGGGTGCCTGAGCAACCTCCAAACATGCTGCTTTAGAACTAGTTGGAAGTCAGTTACTTTTCCCACTGTGACATTCTGTCCAGAAGCCTGAGGCTTTGGGGGAACTGCAGTGCCTGGGGAGAATTTACCCACTGGTGAAACCCCTGGGGGCTTTGCTGGTCGTGTTCACAGTGGGACAGTGATCCCTGCAGCTGTGCAGTGGTTCTTCCCATCGGCCTGCTCAGGTCCCTGTCACCAGGAGGAAGCTGGAGTTTCTCGGAGGGGGACCTCCTAGTCAAAACAAGAAACTAAATTAAGAAGCAGGTATGTTTCATCACTAAATGCAGTCCTCCCAAAGGTGCTGGGGGGCTTCTACATATTCAGTCAGTTAGAGGAGATGTATCTTAATTCAGTCCTCTCCTGTATCTAGTTATGTAAAGCTTGCTTCCAGTTTTGCTAGGGAATATTTGACCACCAGAGGTGATATGGTAATATTTTCTGAGGTGTGGAAAAAAACCAAACACACCAAAAAAGAGAGAACAATCTGACCAAGAGGTATAAGCCCTCATCTACCACCATTCACATAATGATGTAAAAAATCATATTTTCTCTTATTCCTTTTGTTAGCAAAGCCCAACCCTTTATCTAAAATCAAAATAATACCTCTCAAATTTTGCTGGAGACAAGACTTAGGATTTTGAACTGAGCAGGTTTTGTGAAAACACTGAACAGCTCCCAGTCTATAAAATATGTTTATAAGGTATTTTTTATTTTTGTGGGTATGTGTCATTGCTACTCCTGCTGTAGTGCAGCTGCAGTTCCCTAACTGCACAACTGGCAAGTTTTAAGTGTAACATTCCAAGTGGGCGGTATCAGTGCTAGGCAGAGGTAGCAAAGCTGGAAGTGGATTGTACACAAGTGGGACAGAATCTTTATACCCCATTTCTACCATGATGTCCCCTTATGTCATCGTAGTCTCACCAGAGCCTGCCTTAATAATTTAAAATTTAATATTTCTGAGAGCTTTTTAGAGTAGGTGTCCTTGATAAAGCTGGGGTTGGTTGGTTGGTTTGGGGTTTAGTTCCCAAAAATCTGCACATGGCAGTGATGGAAGTGCGTCTTGATTCTGTCTTGTTGCTAATGTGGGTCATATTTTCTTTGAAGGGATAAGGGGTTTGGTTTTAGCTCTATCTGATGTTGGTCAGTATCTTAAATTTGCTGGAAGGAATTTAGTTTATTTTCAGGCTAGGGTAAGCATTTTTCAGGAAGAAATTCTTCCCTGTGAGGGTGGTGAGAGCCTGGCCCAGGTTGCCCAGAGAAGCTGTGGCTGCCCCATCCCTGGCAGTGTTGAAGGGCAGGTTGGATGGGGCTTGGAGCAACCTGGGCTGGTGGGAGGTGTCCCTGCCCATGGCAGGAGGCTGGAACTTGATGATCTTGAAGGTCCCTTCCAACCCAAACCAGTCTGGGATTCTATGATTATTTAAAATAGGGCTCTGAGGGCACACTTTTTTAGCTGGCAGTTTGAGGATATTGATTTTAAATTACTGCTTATCTTAAATCCACTCAGAAGCTTGTAGTTTTAAAAAATATTTGAGGAAAAGTGGCTTAATGGGGCACTCAGAGGTGCTGGATGAATTCCAGAAAATAGTGAGTCATCCCACTTTTGGGGTAGAAATCCAGTGTAATCCAACTGCAGGGTTTTTTCCACTCGGATGAAAGTGATGCAGAGATTAAATTCATGCACGTATTGATATTTCTATGCCAATAAGTGTGTTGGAAAGGCAAGAGCCACTGCCCAGCTTGGCAATTCTTCATGTGTCAGTGTCAGAAGGATGCTCTGAGTACTCTCTGCATCTCAGCTGAGTGGCTTCAGCTCCTGTTGTTGGTCTCTCAGAGAGCCTGCAGGGCTGTGCTCGGGTGCACCCCTCACACCTGTGGGGCTGTCATCTCAGGCTCCCCATGGGGCTGGACCCAATTCTGCTGCTGTGTGTGACCCATGGCCAGTTCTTACAAGGCAGTGCCTCATCATCCCTGTGTTTTATAGAACAGCAGAGTTTGGATGTACAGCTTTAACTTCCACCTGGTGGGGGTGTGCAGCAGGGCCCCATGCCACTGCCATTTGAGGGATGAAGCCACAACTCAGCATTCCTGCAGGACACACACCATGATTCTGTGCTCTCTCTCAGACCAATCACATCACATGACAATGCAGTGTTGATGTTTTGTGTCACAGGGTGGGCAGGGAACAGCATTGACAAATGCTTTTTAAATCCAACCATTTTTTTTAAGAGGTTAACTTGGTTTTGAAGCTGAAAACTTGCTTT